GTTTAGGCTTAAAATTGCTTGCACTATAATCTAGTTGTTGAGGGGATGAAGGCATTAGTCACCATTCGAATTATTCCATTAATCATCCACCCCACCTGAATAAGACCCTTTAGGAGAAGCCATTTTGAGCCTGACCGTTCTTTGTTTACCCAATTAATTTAGCTCCATAGCCAAATGGCCTGCTTTCTTACCCGTGAATATTTCTGACTTAGTCTTGATGTTTAGGAAATTAAGGGATTAATTTGTTAAGTTTAGGGAATTGTGTGTAGGAGCCATTTTTTGCACTGTTCCTATGCCCCAAATGGGGTAAGAGCAGTCACTTTTTAGGAATATGATACTTTCGAGGATTGCATTGTAGGCATGGATTCACTTTGAAATTAATGAACTTAAATTGCTATTTTTCCTTGGTGAGGCCGAGATTAGAATGGAGTAATGTCTAGTGAGAATCCGAAAGGTGAAAAATTAATTTCGTAAGATGAGACTTTGGTATCTTTCGAAAGAAATGGCGTTCTCGTGCCAACATGACAAGGAAAACTAAACATAATTAATAAACTTGGAGGCTATTGAAAAATTAGCTTTAGTCCTCCACGTACTTTAAGTATACGTCAAAGCACAAATGTGCCGAGACGGTTTAGCTTAGTTGTACACCATGTCTACTCTTTGCATAGGTTTAAATGATTGTTCCTAATTTGTGGCCTACTGAGTTCATTGTTGCTAAGAATAGCCCTGAAGTTCCTGAATGCATTGAGTCTTTGTTAGAATATTCCTATCTCTCAAAATAAAGAGACTATCATTATTATCCATTCACCATCACATTCACAAGTCCTTCTGATCAGTAGCTGGATTATTTGTGTAGGTTGTCATTACTTTGAGGATGTTGTGAATAATTGTGTCAAATAGTTTAGCTTGAGTACAAAGGTGTAGTTTAGGGAAGAATTTTCTTGGTTTAGATTGTCTGTCATGTGAATATCCCTTTAACTACGTGTGCATGCTAACTATTTTAAATTCCGTGTGGTGATTATCGTAAGTCTCGTTGTTCGATTTGCTTGAGGACAAGCAAAAGCTTAAGTGTGGGGGAGTCTAATAAGTCCATATTTAGACACACATTTGATGCGTGTTCTGGTCGGATTTTGATGGTTTTCCTGGCTTTAAGGCGTTGCAAGTCTCAATTTTGGCTCAAGTTGTGTTTAGCAGGCGTTGGATCGAGTTTCATTGCATTTGGAGTTGATTTGAAGAAGTTAGAGTCCGGCAATCGGCGCTTGAGAGGCATTCAGGAAGGATTTGAAGGCGTTCGAGAAAGATTTGGAAGATTTGGAGGCCACCGGGAGATTCACGACGAAATTCTAGTGAAGAAAGAGCATTTGGATCGACCTCGTAGGCACTCGGGAGCTTTTGGAGCAAGAAACGAAGAAAAACGATGAAGAAAGGGTCAGGCACGACCGTGCCTAGGTTAGGCACGATCGTGCCTGCATTTAGGTTGAGGCGCGAAGCTATTGGCAGCCAGACACGATCGTGTCCGGGGCAGGCACGATCGTGTCTGCAATCTTTACGTGCGCATGCTCCGCAGGCACGATCCCAGGCACGATCGTGCTTGGCATCGTGTCTGGCCCTGATTTGTCCTATTTCAGCTCAAATTCTCCTGTTTTCTATAAATAAGGCCTCCATACCCATTTTTGAGGGTTACGAACTTTGTGGAGAGGCCTAGGGACGAGTTTTACCTGCGTTTTTACGTTGTTTACTTCAAGAACCTGGGATTCTTTGTAAGTTCAATTCTTTAATTAATGACAATTTATTCTATTCATCCCAATTCTTTTGATTCGTCAATTATGAGGCGTGAGTAGTTTAATTAGGGATTTGGGGTTGATAAAGGGGTTAATCATGATTGTTGGCTAGATTCTTGTCGGTTTAATTGCATGAATGCCGTTTAATTTGTGTTTGAATAATTTAACTGATATCTCTTGTAACCTAGACTGCAGCTAGAATTACAATTGCATGTAGAATGAATTAAGAGAGATCTAATTTGTTCTAGGACGCATTCACACACACTTAATCGTTCTCTAAGAGATTAGTAGCGATTAAGGGGCCGTAAGCTCGCTCGTTTTGGCAATAATTTAGGATCTTGTCGCATGAGAGATCAGCCCGGACCCCTAAATTATTGTACTCTTCGCCGCGAGAGCGGTAAGAACTTAGTAATGATTAGCTAGGCTCAATTAAATTAAATTCATGTGTTTAGGCCTGTTCTGCCAGAAATCTGGTTAACCCCGGAATCAATTCCTGTTCCCTTCGTCGTTAATTAAGGAAAACCAAATCTTTTTACCTGCTCATTAGCATTAGTTTTATTTCAATCAATCAACCAATCTCGCACAATTGCACTTTTATTTTATTTATTTCTTTTTAATCGCTAAGTTTAGTTAATCTTTATTTCTCTTTTGTCTGTCCCTATGGAGACGATACTCGTACTTTTCACCACTTTTCTACAATCATTTTAAGTGCGAGAAAACACGCATCACCCACCATTTCGTTCCATCATCCACCCTAAGGGGTGTTTGGTTGTTTACTCGTTAAACGGTAGACACGTAATCTTTTTACATGTAAAATATAAATACATTGTTTGGTGAGATATGTGATCCATTTTTAAAGTAGATGCAAGGTAAATCACACAGAGTAACTTTTAATGCCTGGAATTGAATTTTAGAGATACAATCCGGCCAATCCCTAATCTCTAAAACAAGCCCTAATCTGCCGTTGTTTGTTATTACTACCTATCCAATGGAAATGGAGCTGAGATTAGATGGCTGGTACCTTTTATGAGATGATGACCCGTTATTGTTAATCGTGAAAGCACAAAGCCAGATATTTAGTGTGGCTACAACAACAACAACAACATCCAAGCCTTAGTCCCAAACGATATTGGGGTCAGCTAACATGAATCGATACATGATATCACCAAAAGGAAAAGAAAGAAAATAAAGATAAAAAGATAAGCTATTATAAAAAAAAGATAATATAAAAGAGATGAATATACATATAAAAGATAAAATAAAAAGGATAAAGTAATATTTATATATAAGGATAAAAATATAAAAAAAAAAAGAGAAAAAAAAGAGGGGAAAAGATGATACAAGATCACTCCTCCACACGAATACCCGCCATCCATTTTGCTCTCTCCAAATTCATACCCTCATCCAATCCAAGAAGAAGCATATCACTTCTGACTCCCCTAACCCACGTCTGTTTGGGCCTTCCTCTCCCTCTCTTCCCTGCCTCTTCTCCACACATCTCAACTCGTCTGACAGGTGCATCACTCGGTCTTCTATGCACATGACCAAACCACCGTAGGCGTGACTCCCGCATCTTATCTTCAATAGGTGCTACTCCCACCCTTTGTCTGATTGTCTCATTCCTCACGCGGTCCTTTCTAGTATGCCCACACATCCAACGCAGCATGCGCATCTCTGCCACACTCATCTTTTGAATGTGACATTGTTTCACAGCCCAACACTTCGTGCCATACAGTAATGCAGACCTAATTGCTGTCCTATAAAATTTACCCTTGAATCTAGTCGGCATACCTCGATCACATAGATATTTAGTGTGGCTAATGTAACTTAATTTTTCAGATATAAATTAATGATGTGTTGCATTTAGGGTACTGGCTTGATCTTTTTAAGGTGGGAATTGCTTGATACTTTTACTGCCTTGGATATTCATTAGAAAAAGAAAGAGTATGAGAGCTATATTAATTCGAAAATGCTATATGTTGGTGATTTTAGTGTCACCGGCCGTTTTGTGTAATTGGAAATGACATGAGTGCCAATGGGAATTAGAACTATGATCTAATACAAGTTAGTAGGTGTGGAGTGCACACTTGTATATAAGAACTAGTTTAGTTCCAAAGTGTCTACGTTAGTGGAACTCGAGGTAGAACTCGAGGTATAACTTTCAGTAGACCAGCTCTGTGGTTCTAGACCGAGTTCTAGAACGGTTAGGCAGTTTCCAGCAGTTTCCCAAAAACTGCTGCGGTTATTCTTAATCGTGTTACTACTGCCTAGGACGATGAATATGGATATATACCACCATATTTCGTACAGAGAAGGTAGAGGATCAATATCCAACATATCTTCATCACTTTGGCACTCAAATTAAAGATAACAATCCATATACTCACTAGTTTGGCTCTAGTTCTTGTGCCTGAGTTCTAGAGTGTCCTTAAGGATTATCCTAGATTGAATTTCTTGTAACCCAGGCATAGGGGAGAAATATCAATTCGGAAAGTGAACTTACACGATTCTTAAGCAATCCAAGTACTCAAATTATCACCCCCTACGTGAGTTACCCCAACACTATATGTACACATGTTATACACATATTGTACATGCTATATATAGCTTTTTTACCTTTGCATTTTACCATTCATTTTTCTCCCCTTTTCCTTCCACCCCTTTCTCACTCTCATTTGCAGCCTCCCCTTCTGCGGAAAAATCCTCCCCTCCTTCCAGTTCTTCGAATCCCCCATCTCCTCAGTAATCTCTCATCTCTTATATTTCTCTTTTCTTTTTGTATCTTTCTGATTCAGCTCCAGTCATTGATCAAGTATGAGAAGGTTGCACCTCTTACAGAAGAGACAAAGGAGAATCTGGGCCCGGGTCTTGTTATAGAAGACGGAAGACGTCGTCTACAAAGCCAGATAATAAATTTCCTTAACCCTAACTCACTAGATAATAAATTTCCCTTGTTTCGTTAATGCTAATTAGGGATTTAACTCTGATTTTTTTCCTTTTATAAAATATACAGAGTATATTTGTAAGAGATATGAATATTGTGTGTTTTACTTTTTTTATATATTTGTTTTGATTTTATGTATATTGGGTATAAAATAACCTAGAATCAATGCTAAATTTGTTTTATTATAAGAGATAAGAGGCCTTTATTCTTGAAATTTTAGGGTAATTACTCTAGTTCATTTATGACTTTTTTGTTTGTTGAAATTACTCAATGACTTTTTTTGTTCAAATTCATAATTTTATTCTCGTTTTTGTTAATGTAGATTAGTGTTTAAGAAAGTCATGGCTGTGTCATTGCAAATCAAAGGAACTCATGGCCAATGGTTGCCGGCTCTGTATCGCTCCTCTTCCTAATTGCAATGCGAATAGGTAAAAGGAATAAAAGGTTGATATTTTGCTCTATCCATTATATTTTTAATTTTGGGCTGTAGTTGAATACTTGAATCGCAATGCAACAAAAGTGTTTATTGTTGTATACACAGTCAATTATGTAAGTACATATTACATGAACGGTTTGGATTCTCCTAATTGTATCTATGAACTTAGTTTTATTTGAACTTGCAAAGTGCTATGTAATAACTCAACTTCTTTTTTATACGTTAGATGTTTCTAAGATTATTAATTTGAAAATGATTTATATGTGTTAGAGATATTTTTAGTATTGTGATCAATGTATTTTATCTAGCCTCTTGGTAGTATTTATTGTGTATTTAGTAGGCCTTAAATGGAAAAGGCTACTAAGCTAAATTAGGAATGGGCCTCCTAAAAAGGAGAGCCCATATCATTGTAAACCCTACCATTCTAAGGAGGCTATAAATAGACCCCTTAGGAATGGCTAGGTTAAGCTTTCCTCCCTTAGAAAAATTCCCCGCGCATAGAATAGAGCCTACGGAAGTTTTACGCTACATTCTTCACCATCTTTGTGTAAACTTTCTGGCTATCAATGGAAAGCTTCTTCTACTCCTATTAATCAGATCTTATACATTATAGAGTAGAAATTGGGACCAACATTTGGTATCAGAGCCGAGCGTGTGACGTATTGAAGTTTCTGCAACTTATCGATCGATTGAAGACGGAAGAAAACTCCTGCGCGAAACTCATCGGTGAAGTTTTTGCCTCTTGCGCGATTTTCTATACTGTTTTGTTGTCGTTTTTGCAGGAAAATGTTTACAGGAAAGTGTTTCTAGGCTCGCAAGGTTTCATTCTGTGAAAAATCACATTCAGAACTTTGGCGTACAGGTTAAGCAGGAGTTGAGCGATTTTGTGCTTTCGCGCATCTGGGAAGAAGAACAGGTTTAGCGCCAAAAAAAAAAAAAAAAAAAAAAAAAAAAAACCCTTTTGCGCGATTTCAACTTCGCGCAGAACTCACTTGAGCGATTTCTTCCTTGCGCGTTTTAGATCTTGAGCGATTATACTTGAGCGAAAAGGTTGTTGCGCGATTTGTACCTGAGCTATTCACAGGTTGTGCGCGATTCACAGTCAATTACTGCGCGATCCGGTAATCTCCTGCGCGATTGCAGGTGCGTGATTTTTCTGTGGAAAACGAGTTGCGCGATCGAAACCAGTTGCGTGATTTAGGTGAACTAGGCCTGCGCGAAATACTCTGTTGCGCGATCATTCTCGCGCGATCTGAACTCATTTGTGCGATCTTCCCTTTGCGCGAAACGAGCTTTGGGAGCAGCTATTGCGCGAACATTTTGTTGCGCGGTTTTCTTTGACCCTGCGCGATTTAGGTTTGCTGCGCGATTACCTTGAGCAATTTGGTAGTCCTTGCGCGGTCTTCCCCAGCCAGAGCGCCGAACAGGGGCACGAGAGTCCTCTTGCGCGATCTTCGTTAGGTTGAGCGATCTTACTTGTTGCGCGATCTTAGTACAAACCCGGGAGCAAATTTAATTAAAAAAAAAACAGTTACGCAAAGTTAATCAACTTTTTTTTAAAAAAAAGGAGGGACAAAATTGTCTTTTGTGACCTGCGGAATTTTGCGGCTATCGTGTCCGCAGGTCGCCCGCGCAGGGGGGGTGCAGATTTTTCGTTTTTGAACTTCAAGCCGAAATCCCCTGTGCGCGAGAGCTCCCCTCTTCTCCTTCACCATTTAATCTTAAGGAGGGAGTGCTCCATATAAATAGGCTCAAAAGTTTCCAAAGAGTTTAGGTGTGGGATAAGTTAACTAGCTTACTTTTCCCTTCACTTGGACAAGTACATTTTTTCCCCCAAAACCCACTTCAAGTGCAGATTTTTAGCCCATCTTTAAACCTTGAGGTCAAACTCCAAAACCAAAGCTCAACACTTTTTCAAAGCTTCAAATAGTCAACCTTGAGATTTAAAAAAAAAATTAATAAAAAAATAATAATAATAAATCTCAAGGTTAAGACTAAATTTTCTCAAAATCAAAGCTACATTTCAAGAGTCACAAACTTGCAGAAATCTTCAATCAACCACACGTCAACGATCGATTTTCGACAGTCAATCATGACCACTTCCAATATTGCTGATAAAGTGACTGTCCTCTCTGCTCAAAACAAGAATGCAGACAACACTGTAAGTACTCCTAACCCTTTTAATTCTGCTTGCTCTAAAACAGACCCGTATGACAAAATTAAGGAGCTAGAGGAGAAATATGATAGAGTTTATGATGTGTATAATAAATTGCGTGAAAAACAGACTTGCTCAAACATCAAAATAATCAATTCAGAGAAAATTATCACTAAGCTCACAACTGAGAATAAACGACTCAGTGCTAGCGAAAAGGAGCTGACAGAGAAGCTTAGGACTACTGAAAAAGAGAGAATTAGACTTTTTGGTGTCAACAATTTACTTATGGAAAGAAGGGGTGCTCTTTACACCAAAATCAAAGAACTCGAAGACCTGTTAGCTAAGAGGGACCAAACAGACTAGACTATTTTCCTTAATCAGCCTAAGGACACTCGTTTCTATAATGCCAAGGAGGGCCTGGGATTGACCAATCCTCAAAACCTGAAAAAGATCAACTGTAAACAACTCTATGATGTTAGATACATGAAAATAGGATTGACCAAACTCATGGCCTTCACTGGAGCTGAAGAAACGAATGCCCTCGAGGATGAAAAGAGAAAGACAAAGGCTGGTGTCGAGGTTCCTTTTGACTACACAGAGCTAAACAAGAGTTACAAAACCAAAGCGCTCCCGCTGACTCCTGCTGATGAAGTCATAACTTATGCTCCTGAAAAGGAAACTGTGCAAGATGGAGAGGAACCTTCAACTTCAGAACCTGTAGTCAAACCAGCTTACATTCCACCTCTTGTGAGAAAGTTTGCTGAACTAAAAGAATCTTTTGAAAAGGAGAAACAGGTTTTAGAAAAAGAAAAGGATCAACTTTTGAAAGAAATATCCATGTTAAAAACATCCTCTCAGTCCATCACAGTTTCTCAACCCTCTTCCCTTTCTTCCCCAGAAAATTGTTTAGAAAATCCAACCAACGGTTCTAAAACTTCTTCAACTCACTCTGAGTCCCCTTCTCCGAAAAGGAACCAAGTGAATAAGAGAGTAAAGAAGAGAGGTGAGTGGATCGAGGAGAAGTTGAGAAGAAGGAAAAGAGAAGAAGAGTCTCATCTAGGAAATAAGAATCAGCGTTCGAGTGCCTTGTTTTATGCCAAGAATAAGTCTAGATCTGGCATTAGTGAGCTTTCAACTAGTAATACTAGAAGTGGTGTTCCTAGGAATCTCCTAAGTGAACTCTCGACTAGTAATGCTAAAAGAGTGGCTCCTAAGTTTTCTAGTTCTAAGACATCTGTCAAGAATCGCTACTCTAATGCTTGTTCTCTGAATTGTGTTAAGTCAATGAAAGCTTGTTGTTTTGAGTCTGATTCCTCATCAAACAAAGACAAGAATGTGAACGTTCAGAGATGCCCAAAGAAATCAACTTCTGTGAAAGTGAACGTTGAGGGGGAGTACAAATTACCATGTTTAAGGTATCCCCTCAAGGTTCGCTCACTTAAACATTTGAGAAGGCTCTCTCAGGAAACAATTTTAAAAGATTATTTGTCTGAACATTCACTCACTATTAACGAAACCTCTCTCGCTCCAAAGTTCAAACAACAATGGGTTCCTAAGGCCGAAGCTGAGAAACTAAGAACGTCAAACACTTCTCAATCAGCTGGCCTAGGTTCCCAAATAAAACAAAAGCTGAAACATTTCTTCACCACTAATAAGGATGGACCCATTTGGAAGTGGGTACCAAAACGTACTTAATCTGTTTTGCAGGTCCGTCATGTGTGGTACCTGATCTGATTGCTCCACACACATGGCGGGTGAGAAGAGCTGTGAGCAATCAATTGGTGCACATTATTAAGGGGAGTATTGGCATGTATACTACCCCACTGAGCAGAAAATCAACAAATGCACACCTCAACACCAACACATGCCAAGAAGAAACAACAAGTGCTTATTCTGAGGGGGAGTGTTTCTTTTTCACTCCTCCTGGTGCCTTACAAGAACAAAGCACATATCAAGGGGGAGTTTTCTACTTTACTCCCCGGGTGACAAACAACACCTTGCACATTCTGAGGGGGAGTTACAATTTTCTCCTCCTGACGCAAATCAAGGATCAATGCAAGACAACCCCAGGACGTTATGGCAGAACCAGTAGCAATCAAGACAACTCAAGGATGTCGTGGTGGTTGTTCTCAAAGGCCGCAAAATTTAGAAGGCGCTAAACAAAAATTGTCGAAACACCAGGGGTGTATCTCCAACAATTCTGGGGAACACTCAACTAAGCAAGAGATGCCTCTGGTGCGAGAATTCTGAAACCCACCATTGACAACACCAAGGTGACCAACACCAAAGAGTTCATGCATCAAATGCTCCAAACACTAGAATTGATAATGGGACGGAGTTCAAAACAAGGAGCTGATTGGGTTCTACGAAGCTCAGGGATTTACACAATAGTTCTCTGTAGCTGAAACACCAAAGCAAAAGGGTGTCGTAGAACGATCGAACAGGATCTTGGTGGAAGCAGCCAGAACCATGCTAATACAGTCAAAAGCTTCCTCATTTCATGTGGGCTGAAGCTATCAACACGGCTTGCTTCACACAGAACTGGACGGTGATTCACAAACGATCCGACAAGATGCCCTATGAGATTGTGTTCAAGGGTCTCCCTAACATTGCCTTCATCCGCGTCTTCGGCTACAAGTGCTACATTATGAACAGCAAGGATGTTAGGGGACAGCTTGATCTGAAAGCAACTGAAGACAAAGAGGCTCAATCATCTTCTAAAGTAGGAGGACAGGGAGACGAGACAAGATCGAATGAGCACGTGCAGTGGTACTAGATTCTCTGTTCGAGCACTTTTATAGTCAACCACGTGCATCACCAGCTACAACCACTACAAATTCTCAGACCTTCCTGTTATATGCTCCCACCGCAAAGGAAACACTCACTCCCGCTCAGAATAATGATGAGCACTCAGATGATGAAGGTGAACATGAACCATCTACCCCGCAATATGATCAGCCTGAAGTAACTGCAACGCAAGAGACCCCAGAGGCACAACCGAATCAAGATTACACTGACCCAGATCATCCAATCATGAGAGAAAGTGGACGAGAGCACATCCGCCAGAGCTGATAATTGGAAGATGAATACTATGAACTGGCCAACATAGAAGACATCATGGAAGACATGATCACATTATGCCATGCACAAGCAATCAAGCTCATCTCCCAGGTCAAGCCCGAAAGACTACCACGGCCATAGAAGACTCTGATGACTACACTAATTAAGTGTTGCACTGCCAAAAACACTGGCTTCGATAAGTGCAGCATCTACATTTTGACCATCTTTCACGGCGTGGCATTCTGCAAGAACTACGACTATGTCTCGCTGATCTGGGATGACATCACATAGTTGATGCCATATATGAGAAGATTGTCAATGCTCGTGAGACGTTTCAGCGGAACAACACCAACAATTCACCGCCAACTATCCACTGAGAACGTTGCCACCCCAGCCATCACGTACCTTCAAAGGTCAAGGATGATTCCTCACTAGTGTCACTTCCACTACCAGTGTCTCTGCTGCAGCTAGCCGATCCAAATGATCCATCAGTCAAATGTTACTGCCAGGAGAACAATATTATACTCCCTACGGCTCAGATAAACCCCCCTGAGCCTACCCCAGGGAGTCAGCCGAGAGTAAGTGAGGGTCCTGAGAGTTCTACCCAGCCACAGAGACCAGTGGCAAGTCGGCCCCATGATGATCAGACGACGTCTGCTGAGGGCCACCCCCAAGTTGCTGAGGAGATTTTCCATGATTCGCCAAGCGTAGCCAGAACAATAAACGCTGAAGATGAGGGCTCCGGTAGCAAGGCTAACAAGCGCAACAAAGTCAACAAGGATGATGAGGTTAATGATGATGCGGACGACAACGTTAATCAAGCCAGGGAGCCTCCGGTACAAAAACGCCGACCCATTATCAGGCTCCCCACAACAGCAGAAAGAGAGGTGTCTTACTCGTGGAGGAACAAAGAAGAAATCATTATAAGTGCGACGCGCTCCAAACATCAAAATTACATCCTTTCCTCATCATTCACTCCTACATAGAGGACACAAGACGTAAGCAATCTGGCAAAATAAATAGCCCTGTTTGACGAGTGTACAAACCTAGATGTAGTAAATCGGACTGACCCCATAGGAGCAGAAGCTGACTTTCTCAGCTTCCGAGTAGAAGACGCAGCATCTTGCCCAACTGCGCATGCACAAGCCACACCTAGCCACTCTGCTGCCTCCCAACAGGTAGTAGTTTCACAAATAGGGGATCTTATACCCACCTCTCTGCCCCCTTACGGAGCAGTTAAGGATGTACATAGTGGTCTATCGCCCCGGACCACTACCCTTTCTTCTATCACATTGAGTCTAGGTGTCACACTCCCTACATTTTCAAATTTGCTAGGACACATACACTTTTCACACCACCTCACTCTACAGGTCCACTTTCCCTGTCAACAACGATCGGAGATACTTCGATGATGATCGGAAGTCCTGCCGCTCAACAGATAACTCAATTATTATCTGCAGGCCACACACCAGTAAACTTTACTGATGTTGTGACAACGGTTACTACCCCTGTAACCGGACAACCCTAACCCTACCGACCTTGCAGTCATTCAGCAGCGTTGCTTGGATTCCACCATTAAACCATGGGTGCACGAAGCAATAACCGCTCGGGCATAGGAATTCAGGACCACCCCGACGCTTCTTAATGACATCATCAAACCCTAACTCAACCCTCATCCTCCCACTCCCAACAACAACTCACCCCAATCCTTATCCTATCCCATTTACAATGCCATTCGATGACCTAGCATCCATTATGCTAGCGAGAATTCTTGAAAACGAAGAAGCTCCACTCACTGACAAACAAAGAGCTCTTTTTGTAGTACCTGAAACCGAAAGCACATGCCATGACAGTCTCCGCGGTCACAAACATTTGCATGAGGACTCCAATGATTCGGCTCCTCATGAGGGGGAGAATAAGAGGCAACGGATACTTGAGCATGGTGCTTCATCTAGCCAACAACCCCAACTTGAACCCTCAAACAACCTAGATTAAATGCAAGAATTCTCTCAAGGATGCAAATTTTAAGGAGGAGTTTTCAAAGTTCTCCTCCCAAGCGCCAAACATCGTCAAAGGCATCCTACTCAGTGCTCCAGTTGAGGGGGAGTACAGAGAGAGAATAAAGAAACATATCAATGAGAGATATGTCCTAATGGCTTAGTAAACCCAACTAAGCCTACCCAAGGGACAAAGCCGAGAGTGAGTGAGTAACTGAGTGAATATTATGAGAGTGAAGAAGCAGAAGGCTCCGATGAGCAAGAAAACAATAATCAATGACAAATCTGCTACCTCAAATGAGCTATCAATCGAGGAATCAATCCCAGTCACTCAAATACTCCGGACAATCCCCATAGGTTCAGGACTGAATTATTCAGATCCCGGGTAGAAGTCGCTGCATTTTGTCCAAACGGCGCGTGCACAACCCTACCCTAGACCACTCATCTGTCTCCCAACAGACAGGTGTTTAATCACTGTTCACGGGGAACCTCATCTCTTATCACCGTCTCCTTCTGAGGCGACTGATACTGACTACAGTGGCCCTCGGCCCCACGCCACTGAACTTTCATTGATCACGTTGTGTCTAGTTATCTCACTCCTAAATGTTTTGAATTTTCTAGGACACAAACACATTTTTAGAGTCAGTTGCAGGTCCAAGTGACCATGCGAGAACTTCCATAGGCCCATCTTCTATAGATGCAGACCGATGATTGGATGGAAGTCCTGATGTTGCAACATAGAAATCACCAACATTTTCAGGCCATCATTTAGAGTTCATCTCCATAGTGATGATAACGAGTGTCTACATGATCCCGGGGGGCTACAATTATCTATGCTGATCCTAGTGATCATGCCATAACAACCAGAGTGACATCTACTTCAGATGTTTCACAATGATTGGATGGAAGTCCTGTTAGAGCTACATCGTTTCTATCATTATATACAGGCCACACATCAATGTTTACACTGATGTTGTGTCAACGGAACACCACAGTGTCTCCGGTTCTTATCTTTTCATTTTCTTTGCATTTTCAGTTTTCCAGAATAAAAGAATAAAGGCAAGACATCTCGATTCATTGGATTGTCATAAAGGGGGAGAGTGGTCCACACGCTGTTTACTCTCAAAAATCATTCTCGGACACTTCTCCCCTCCAGCTCAAAAACAATGGCTCTCTACTCTCTCATGTTCATCAACTGCCAAGTCAGCTTCAAATCTAAAGGTCATCCATGCTCACAAGTCAACCATCATTTTCCGCTGTGCCACCGACAACTGTTCCTCAAAAGCATTCACAACCGAATAGTCATAAAAGGCTACATTCTGGAGGATACAGAGGTCGGATGATCAAATACTGAAGATGAATCCCTTATGCGCCTAGATTTCTTCAGAACAATCATTCTAAAGGCATCATCGGATTCATTCAAGCTGATCAAGAGAAACTTCTGAAAGGCAAGGATTAAAAGCAAGATTTTGAAGAATCCCTCAACCCGCGGCATCAAAGAACGAATTGAATGAATAACACCAAGGGGGAGATTGTAAGGATTTCTTCATGAAGCCTTTCCAAGAAGACAAAAGAAGCTGAACTGAAAGAATTTGATCGACTAAAGCGGTGCTAGACGCAATCAATGCTCGACTCGAAAAGAGGAGAATGCTGCACCAATATGAACATGCTCTAGCACTACAAAGCAACTACTACAAGAGGCAGAAGAATCCACAAGAGCCAACAACGGACATTTGATCACAAAGGGGGAGAATGTTAGAGATATTTTTAGTATTGTGATCAATGTATTTTATCTAGCCTCTTGGTAGTATTTATTGTGTATTTAGTAGGCCTTAAATGGAAAAGGCTACTAAGCTAAATTAGGAATGGGCCTCCTAAAAAGGAGAGCCCATATCATTGTAAACCCTACCATTCTAAGGAGGCTATAAATAGACCCCTTAGGAATGGCTAGGTTAAGCTTTCCTCCCTTAGAAAAATTCCCCGCGCATAGAATAGAGCCTACGGAAGTTTTACGCTACATTCTTCATCATTCAATGGAAAGCTTCATTCCCAGATCTATCTTCCATACATACATTTTATAGACTACAAAACAGGGACCTAACAATGTTTCTTAGCTCTTTATATTTAGCATCTTAATTAAATAGATTAGCTAGAATAATGAATAGGCCTTTTAAGGCAATTTGTAATAAAAGGTTTTATACCTTTTTAGGTATGGGCCTCCTAGAAAAAGGAGCCCAAATGATTGTAAAACCTACCTTTCCCGTCAGGCTATATATATGCCTTAAGGGAAAGGCTAGGTTAAGCTTTTCAACATTCCTAGTGCCGCAGTGCCTATATCAGTGATAGAAGTTTTACGCTAAATTGTTCATCATTCTGTAAACTTCTTCATCATTCAATGGAAAGCTTCATTCCCAGATCTATCTTCCATACATACATTTTATAGACTACAAAACAGGGACCTAACAATATGTCAATCATACATACTCATATTAGAATTTTGAAAGAGGGATCTAGGCCAGTGCAACCTCATAATTGTATATTTTCCCTTGATTTACGTTCCATGTCCCTTGTCTCAAACATAATAAACAGAGGGAATATGATAGGAGTAATTCTTAAAGAACAACTACTGTGCATATCTATATTTATTCTTTTCTTATTACAGGTTATTGGAATCATTTGAGATGCTTGACTTCCTCTATGCGCTTATGCTCAGTAAGTCAATTTTCTTCAGATACGGTTGATGCATCACACCTAATCTCCCCAGTCTTTAAACAATGATATGTCTTGTGAAACTGAATTAAATGTCTAGTAGGAAACCCAAACTAATTTTACCGGCTGTTTAGATCTTTTGGTAGGAAAACCAGTTTTGCTTAATTTTGATTTAATTTCTTCAGGGTTTTCTATGCATGTTTTTATTATGCAGATGACTTAGAGAATCACTAAATAAAGGCAGAAAGGTTACCAGTTATGGAGCATCATCGTGATATAGTTTGGAATAATGGATGTGTTTAGTTCTGGGAAAATTCCTGCCTCTTTGAGTTGTAATGATTTAAATTATATTCCTTTGATTTCAATGTCATATTTGTATTAAATTTGATAAAAAAATATCTATTTATGACTCTGTACTAAATTTAGATTTTGATTTACTTGTATCATCGAAGATGTATCATATAAAATAGATACTTTGATTTTGAACTACGACATTGATAAAACAAATGATTATAAAAATACTCAATTTTAAAAGCAAGAATGATAGTTTGGTCTCAGGCAATAGTCACTTGAATGGAGTAATCAGCTAAGTGAATATGTATGTGAACCATAGATGAAATGTCTGGTCACATGCAATAGTCACGGGAACAGGCTATTGGCCAAGTGAAATTGTTTGTGAATCGGGCATGAAGTGTCTGGTCATAGGCAATAGTCACTGGAACATGCTAATGTGTAAAGTAAAATTGTTTGTGAACCAGACATGACATGTCTGCTCACAGGCAATAGCCATGAGAACATGCTACTGACTAAGTGAAATTGTTTGTGGATCAGACATGAAGTGTCTGGTCACGGGCAATAGTCACTCGAACATGCTAATGTGCAAAGTAAAATTGTTTGTGAACCAGACATGAAATGTCTGGCCATAGGCAATAGTCACGAGAACATGTTACTAGTTACGTGAAATTGTTTGTGAATCAGACATGAAGTGTCTGGTCGCAGGCAATAGTCACTGGAACATGCTAATGTGCAAAGTAACATTGTCTGTGAACCACACCTGAATTGTCTGGTCACAGGCAATAGGCACTGAAATGAGCTAATATGCTAAGTGAAATTGTCTGTAAACGTGACATGAAATGTCCGGTTAGAGACAATACTGAAACATGATACACTTTTTGCGAATCTAATAATTATAAAGAATATCCTCAATACATAAGAATGTCCGGTTTTGGAATTTTTGTTTTTTATTTCAAGTAATGTAAGTTGATTCGTGTAGTCCTGAACTCCTGACAGAAGCAACTCTGAAAGATTGTAAAATAAGTCAATTTTCAGCAACACACTTGAAATTTTTATGTGCTGACTTTGCCGAACTGAACTTTACATTTTTATGATACACTTTTCATCCAAAAAAAATAAAATATCCAAGAGTCTAGTTACCGACAATGGCAAATGGAATAGGCTAATGTGCCAAATGAAAATGTCTGTGAACCTGATATAAAGTGTCTGGTCACAGACAACTTCACTTAGCCAATTAGCCTGTTCAAGTGACTATTGTCTGTGACCAGACACTTCATGTCTGGTTCACAGACAATTTCACTTTTAACATTAATCCAATCTAATGACTATTGTATGTGACCAGACACTTCACATCTTGTTCACAGACAATTTCACTTTGCATATGAATCCGTTCTAGTGACTATTACCTATGACTTGACATTTCATGTTGGTTCACATGCAATTTCACTTAGCCCATTAACTCGTTGTGGTGATCATTATCTGTGATCAGGCACTTCATACGTTAACATTAAATATATTATATTTAAACTTTATGTAAACTTTATGGTAACTATATACTTTTATATCGATTAACTTTGAATCTTTATGCTTATCAAAAGAAATCCTACACCATAAACATATTTTCACTTGGAACTCAAATGCCTTGTGTACTCAAAGGCACTGTCATGACTGTCATACTAGTTACAAAACATAACTAAAACCTATACATATTATCTACACCAAAGCTTCCTCGTGAAGATTTTTTTGTGTAGTTGCTCAGGTATTACTAGGCTTGAGGTACATGTTTCCTGAAAAATTAAACATTACGAAGTAATTGATTGTAATGTAAAGAGTCAAATTGTTTGATGTTGACGCAGAGGCAAACTAAAAAGTTTGTGATAGAACATTCATCAAAGAGTTTTGGTGTAACCCACTGAATGAACTTTTTGTAATAAATATCCGCAAACTCAAGACATGACAAGGCGTTATAGGACACTACATTTCACTATTTGATCTTAGAGAATGAAAAAGATCTTGTATAGATAATAAAATCTGAAAAATAAATTTGCGTACAAGAAGATGCCCCTATCATAGTAAACCTATTAGACAAAAGAAGTATCACGGAAAAATACAGAATAAATAATGCTTAACAATCATTTAAAAACATATCATTTCGATACAAACAAATGTGAATAATTTAAATCTTGTGTTTATATATATAAATCACATAGAAATTCAACAATATATTTAGCCATTTGATGTTCAAAACTTCAACTTTATTACTAGAAGTTGAAATAGAAAATGGGACATGCAACTTAAACAATTGTGGGTGGCCACCAATAAAATAGACCATGCAAAAACAGTTTCTATGTTTTTTTTGTTTCAGTAATAAAAAGCATCCTAATATTTTTCGCACATGAAAGAAAATCATACCAAACATTTAACACTATAATAACATACATAAAATTTGAAAACTTTGAAAGAAATGTATCCCTATAAGTAAAAACGTCTAGCAAATTCATAATAATCAAAGAATAGTCAATCAAAAATTACTATGGAGTATATCATGGGCAAATGGGATAACAGAAATAACAGAGTCTAAAATTCATTATACACTAATGTACATTGACAAAAACGATAACAAAATCATGAATTTGAACAAAAAGTTCATTGAGTCATTTCAACAAACACATTATGTGCATAAATGAACTAAAGCAATTATCCTAAAATTTCAACAATTAACATCTCAAATCTCTTGCCATTAAACAAATTAATCAACTATTCAAGGTTATAACATACCCAATATACATAAAATCGGAATTGATGTGTGTTTTCTCGCACTTAAAATAGATTGTAGAATAGTGGTTGAAAGTACGAGTATCGTCTCCACAGGGACGGACAAAAGGGAATTAAAGATTAACTAAATTTAGCGATTAAAAAGAAATAAAATAAATAAAAATGCGATGTGCGAGATTGATTGTTGAATTAAAATTAAACTAAACTAATGCGAATGAGCGAATAAAATAAATGCTGGTTTCTTCTTAATTAACGACGAAGGGAACAGGAATCGATTCCGGGGTTAACCATATTTCTGACAGATCAGGCCTAATTACATGAATTTAATTTAATTGAGCCTAGCTAATCATTACTAAGTTCTTACCGCTCTCGCGGCGTAGAGTACAATAATTTAGGGGACCAGGCTGATCTCTCATGCGACAGGATCCTAAATTATTGCCAAGACGAGCGAGCTTACGGCCCCTTAATCGCTACTAATCTCTTAGCGAACGATTAAGTGTGTGTGAATGTGTCCTAGAACAAATTAGATCTCTCTTAATTCATTCTACATGCAATTGTAATTCTAGCTGCAGTCTAGGTTACAAGAGATATCAATTAAATTATTCAAACACAAATTAAACGGCATTCATGCAATTAAACCGAAAAGAATCTAGCCATACATCATGATTAACCCCTTCATCAACCCCAAATCCCTAATTAAACTACTCACAATTCATAATTGAAGAATCAACAGAATTGGGATGAATAGAAATAATTGTCATTAATTAAAAAGATGAACTTACAAATAATCCCAGGGTCTTGAAAGAAAATAGCGTAAAAACGGTGTTAAATTCGTCCCTAGGCCTCTCCGTAATGTTCGTAACCCCAAAAACGGGGTAATGGAGGCCTTATTTATAGAAAACAACGAATTCGGGTCGAATTAGGACAAATCGCGGCCAGGCACGGTGCCAGGCACGACCGTGCCTGCGACCGTGCCTACGGAAGAAGGCCGGTTTCGCGTCCAGGCACGGCGTGCCTAGCCTCCAGGCACGACCGTGCTTGGCCTCCAGTAGCCCAGTTCCGCGAAATCTGCCAGGCACGGCGTGCCTAGCTGCCAGGCACGACCGTGCCTGGCCTCCAGTAGCTCCCAGGAAATTTTACGCTTCAGGCACGGCGTGCCTAGCTTCCAGGCACGGCGTGCCTGACCCTATTTTTCACTTTTCCTTCGTTTTCTTGCTCCGAATGCTCCCGGATGCCTACGAGGTCGATCCAAATGCTCTTTCTTCACCAGAATTTCGTCGCGAATCTCCCGGTGGCCTCCAAATCTTCCAAATCTTTCTCGAATGCCTTCAAATCCTTCCCGAATGCCTCTCAAGCGCCGATTGCCGGACTCTAACTTCTTCAAATCAACTCCAAATGCAATGAAACTCGATCCAACGCCTGCTAAACACAACTTGAGCCAAAATTGAGACTTGCAACGCCTTAAAGCTAGGAAAATCATCAAAATCCAACCCGAACACGCATCAAATGCGTGTCTAAATACGGACTTATTAGACTCCCCCACACTTAAGCTTTTGCTTGTCCTCAAGCAAATCGAACAACGAGACTTACGATAATCACCACACGGAATTTAAAATAGTTAGCATGCACACGTAGTTAAAGGGATATTCACATGACAGACAATCTAAACCAAGAAAATTCTTCCCTAAACTACACCTTTGTACTCAAGCTAAACTATTTGACACAATTATTCACAACATCCTCAAAGTAATGACAACCTACACAAATAATCCAGCTACTGATCAGAAGGACTTGTGAATGTGATGGTGAATGGATAATAATGATAGTCTCTTTATTTTGAGAGATAGGAATATTCTAACAAAGACTCAATGCATTCAGGAACTTCAGGGCTATTCTTAGCAACAATGAACTCAGTAGGCCACAAATTAGGAACAATCATTTAAACCTATGCAAAGAGTAGACATGGTGTACAACTAAGCTAAACCGTCTCGGCACATTTGTGCTTTGACGTATACTTAAAGTACGTGGAGGACTAAAGCTAATTTTTCAATAGCCTCCAAGTTTATTAATTATGTTTAGTTTTCCTTGTCATGTTGGCACGAGAACGCCATTTCTTTCGAAAGATACCAAAGTCTCATCTTACGAAATTAATTTTTCACCTTTCGGATTCTCACTAGACATTACTCCATTCTAATCTCGGCCTCACCAAGGAAAAATAGCAATTTAAGTTCATTAATTTCAAAGTGAATCCATGCCTACAATGCAATCCTCGAAAGTATCATATTCCTAAAAAGTGACTGCTCTTACCCCATTTGGGGCATAGGAACAGTGCAAAAAATGGCTCCTACACACAATTCCCTAAACTTAACAAATTAATCCCTTAATTTCCTAAACATCAAGACTAAGTCAGAAATATTCACGGGTAAGAAAGCAGGCCATTTGGCTATGGAGCTAAATTAATTGGG